GGCAATTCGTGCAGCATTCGTTAATTGAAACGAATTCCGACTGGCACATGCGCAAAGCTCTTATTCACTTCAAGACTGCCAACGTTGGTTGGGACGCACTCCGTGTCGTGATGGTCGATAAAGACATGACGGAGATCTCTGTGATCCGTGAAGCTTTTCCTGAAGCGACAGTTTTGCTCTGCCATTTCCATGTGTTGAAGTTTTTACGTGGAGTTGTCCGTGAGGCGCGCTTCGGGCGTTATTCGCCAAGTGAATACGATGCCATGGGTCATCTCTTCGCTAACTTGGTGGACGCTACTTCAGAAGAGGTCTACGCTAAGAATGTTTATCTTTTAGAGACGTTTTCTTGCGCTCAAGGCAACGTGTCGTTTTGGGAGTACTTTTGTCAAAACTGGGATGAAAGCAAGGATATGTGGACACACTACAAACGTCAAACATTGCCGCATTTTCGTAACAATACGAACAACCGTATCGAGTCGAACTTTGGAAAGATCAAACTCGATCTTGACGGTAGTTGTTCAATGAAGGAGTGTCTGGAGTCTCTTCTTTGAGCTCAGGGTCGATGCGATAATGAAAGTCTGGCAAGATGGCGTTTGAGGGGGCGTGGACACATTACGGCTACGATCAAGAACTTAATTTGGTATTACGTCTGTGTACACCTTGGGTAGCATCTACGCTGCAGCCTGAGTATGAGCTCGCTATCTCCGACGTCGCGGTCCGGCTGTACACATTTAACGCAACCTCTGACAACACAGTGGAAGTGGAGCGGGGTTTGAAACGATACTCATTTAGCAAGGTTGACTGGATTTGTGATTGTGATTTTTCGACAACTCTCAAGCTTCCATGCCGCCATGTGATATGCTTTCGCCACTTTGCTGGACTTGTTCCGTGTATTCCAGTGTCCTACATTCACTCGAGATGGTTAATTAAGGATTCGTTGTCTTTGACAAGCTTGCCACACGTGGATGTTTTCAATTACTCAAAGACTACCAAACCTATCGGGGAGTACAACGTGGATTCGGTGCTGGATAGTAGCCAAAAATACAGCATATCAAGGAATCTGCTAAACCGTGTAGCACAGGAGCTAGCTGACTTGCCGATGCGACTTTCCAGCAAAGAGATGGAGTACCTGAAAGACTACCTGGGCCGACTGCGCACTGGTTTGCAACCTGTGGAGATACCTGCAGGTGAGCCTGTGAAAAATCCTGTAGTTCAATGTGTGGAAAAACCTGGTACGCAACCTGCAGAGAAGCCATGTCATCAATCTGCCGAGCATTCTTTAAACGAGTTGGATGGAGTTGAGAATGGAGACGACGAAAAAGAAGATGAAGGCGAGGTCACGGATGACGCAGTTGTAGAACCTCTAGAACAAAATTTGGAGGTTCAACCTGATGAAAAACCTGGAAGTGAGCATGAAGAAAAACCTGTAATGAACCCGGGTGAGGTGTCTGTAAAGAAACCTGAGGAAGAACCTGTATTGTCATCTGGCAGTAAACATGTTACAGATCGTGTAGTAAATCCTGTTACGAATCCTGTGGGTACACCCGATGTACTAGATGAGAATCCACCAAAGCCCATCAATTTGAGCAAGAAGGTGCGGCGGGCTGGGCGACCGAAAACAACTGCAGCGCAAAACTCCAAGAAACGAGCCACAGCGCGTAAGAAATTCAATACACGACTGGAGAAAGGCGGAGCGCTATCATTCGAGGACGTCGGGGTTGTTGCGCGCATCCTTGGCGACATAAACATCAGTTTTACTGATATTTTCGAATTGCTGGATGTTTATCCAGTACAGTATGAGAGTGCTGCCTGTAAGCATCCAAAAGTTGGTGGAGATAAGAAGCCGATTCTGAGCGCTGCTCTACCGTTCCTACTGCCTGCTCCATTAGTGAAAAAATCCTTAGATGTAATCTACGAGTCTGGCGCAGTTCCGTTGCCAAGCCAAACCGATGAAGAACCCCCATACGTCAAGATTACCGGTATTGGCAATTTTTCGCTGTATCAAGTCGACTGCATGCAGAGGGCATGGACAATGAAAGAGACTGTTGTGATGGGCAAGAGACTAGTGGAGTGGTTGAAGTGTGTACGCGTCCGAAAGAAACAAGCAGAAGAAGTTCTTAAGCGCGTTCTACAAGCGCATCCATTTAAAATCGTGGAGGGTAATATCGGTGATTTGGATTACTCAACGCTGTACAGACTCCAACCGAAGGACTGGATAAGCTCAAAGATATTTGAAGCAATGGGAGAGATTTGGAAAAGAAATCATAGCGTGACCGTGGTTACAACTGCAGGATTTAAGCTCAACAGAAAGGTCAAGGGGGTCGACGTGCCGGCTGGTTTGTTGGACAAATATACGTCTATCACTTCCAGATTGGTGTTTATACCTGTTAACTTTGCGCAAGTGCATTGGACTGCGATTATTATCAACACGACGACGAAGAGCATTTTTGTCTACGATCCGCTGGGGGACCAAGACTACATCACGTTTCTCACCAAGCTTCAGAGCAGCATCACTAAAGATCAAGCGTTCAGTAGCTTCAAACTGGTTTTAATCGCGTCGCCGACGCAAGACGATGGAAACAGCTGCGGAATATACATTCTGAACTTCATGTGGAGACTGCTTGACGAAAATGTGAAGAGTGCGCATGAGGACGCTGGACTCAATATCTTCCGGCTACGTGTGCTAGCAGCCCTGCTTAATCTGTAATACATTTGTTTACTCTGTGTAATTGGTGTGTACGTATTCCCGTTATAGCGTAAGTACCTGTGCAAAAGACGCACCAGACATGAAAAGAAACTTGTCCATGAAAGACAGAGAGAAAACGTGAAGAAGCTATCGACGCCTTGAATAAACACAAAGTGCTCAAACCTGGTAAGCGACCGGCATCAACCTGGTTTCCAGCCTAAAACCAAAGCAGTATTGAAAAAAAAACAAGTTCGAAAACCTGGCAGAAACCTGTTTGAAAAACCTGGTGTAAATCATGACACCAAAATAAAAGGAAAGGATACAATCCATCTTATCACACCTGCACTTACACCTGGTGCGCAACCTGGTATGTAACCGGACACGCAACGAAGACGGAGCTACAGCTCAGCTTGCAGCCGGATGTCGTCCAAGCACCATGATTACTTTGGGGCCGACTTCGATATAAAATGGACGCGCAGATCTCTATATGAATCATTTAGTGAGTATTCAAGAGCTGCAGAAAAACAAAGAACATCCATTTATTTATATTACGGTTTTATTACGGGAAAATGACACCAGGTGAGTGGATACATGAAAGTTGTGACAGAAAGTGTAAAATGATCACAGACGAAGATGGTGAACACAGCTTTCGTACCGACTCACTTACTGTCGCAACTTGGCATTCAGCAAATCCCTTGTTGGTCGGTGGGAGCCAATCCCAATTGGGAGACGATACTGGTAATCACAGAGCCCCCAGTCTAGTTTATCCTAATACTGTTGTTTTCATCCACGCAGAGTAGGCTCCTTGACGTTTAGCTCTCGCGAAGCGTCTGCTGCAGTCCATTCTGGATAAGCTTTCCACTTTTTCAGCAGCTCTATCTTCTCTCGGCCCGCTGGGTGCACGTGCGCTTGGACATCGCGCCCTTAATTCGGGATTGACCATCGGAACCAGCCGTTCAAAACGAATCAGACTCAGATAATTCAGATTAACTCGCGCGACTTAATGTGAATCGGGGAGAAAGTCAGCATAACTCGCGCGAGTTATTCTGACTCAGCGAGAAAGTCAGATTAACTCGCACGAGCTATTCGGACTCAAGGAAAAAAGTCAGGTTAACTCGCGCTAATTATTCTGACTCAGGGGGATATATTACAAACACAGCCACGTCGTGTAATAGGCCTGCAGATCGCTCACTGAAAATCCATCCATTTCCTGCTCAAGTACGAGCTGGGCTAGGTAATCCGGACCTGTAGCGGTGTATTCTAGTGGCTCACCAGACACTGGTATTGCATGAAACCAAGTTATGCTGCAGAGGTCGCAGTACTGAGTATAGACACGCACGTAAAACGCGTACTGTACAGACCTCCCATGATATAAGGCGTAGTCTTGAACAGCATGAAGAGCATGTGAAGTAGTATCAAAAGTCATTCCGACCTGAATAGTGTTTTCCTCATCGCCGCTGTCCAATCCATCAGCGATGTCGTCGATGTCCTCCGTCATTTTGCGTCCCTCAGTCGTAATAAGTGGTTTTGGTACTTAAAAGCTATGACGTATTGCGCGCTGTATACCAAGCTGCGAAGTGAGATTAGTCAAAGAGTTCTCAAACTATCTCTATCTACGAGCTCCTGCGGCAGCAGTACCTGTCCTTCCTGCTGCTGCTTTAGTAGCCGCGTGCCACCGGCTACGCCTGATCGCCGGCGTGTGCCGCCCGCTCACTGTTGCCAGTCGCGTTGCCGATATGTCTTGGAGGCCCGCTCACTGTTGCCAGTCGCTTTGCCGATATGTCTTGGAGGCACGCGAGAGCGAAACACGAGCCATCGAGGCACGCGCCTCCTCTCGGTATTCGCTGAGTCTGTTCAGGCAATGCCATCTGATACTTGGTGTGCCATACTCCACAAGAGTGTACAATTTGGGTCTTCATACGCATGGCGAACATTAGTATACAACGGGTTTCTGGGTTTAAGTCCGGTTCACCTTGTTTCAGCCATTCAATCATTTGGACACACATTGTGACGTTTGTTCCCTAAATTCCTCACTTACTGACGCGGGTTTCACTTGGTACACCTACCGGCGATACCGACCCCACTTTGCTCACGTTTTGGCACACCTTTAACTTTCTGTCACAACTTTAGTGTATCCACTCACATTTTGTCATTTTCCCGTTTTATTACAGGTGAATTTTATCTTACAGCCTGTTTTTTACCCTGCCAAATTCAAATCAGGAGATAAAACAGGTTAAATTCGCGCGGCTATGCAAAAAAAAACCTGGCAGTTCTTATATAAATTGTTCTATCGATACTATTCTATCGGCACTCTTCACGCTAATGAAGCAGCTGCGAGAGCACTGTCAGTTGAAACAGGGACGGAATCGTTCTCTCCCGTCTTGACAGAGAACACAGGCGTTGGTACACGCTGGTGCATGGAAATCTGCTGCGCGTAGGCGAAGTACGTTTTCACGTGTGACTTGTACTCGGTGACAGAGCGCTGCAGTACAGCACAAGGCACAGCGTCCACCCAGGAGGGCGCTTGTCGTCCAAGCTGCTTTCGCTTGGCCACCTGTGTGTAGCGGGTAACGATCTGGTGAAGCGGGACGTCGAATGCCTCCCAAGTTACAGTGCTGCCTGTACGCACGAGTCCTGGGATCTCAAACAGCCGAGAAGCCTCGGCACCCATGAGGGCCTCGTCCGACTTGGCGCCCAGTACGAGGCGGTTGCCAGGGTACGTCAAGTACAGCAGGATGTGGTAGAAACAGTAACGGACATCGCGATTCCAGTGCAGGAAGAGGCGTTTAACGTGCACAGCTAGCAAGTCCGTGAGCTGCATCTGCAGCGAGACTGAAAGACCCATAAAGTTCCTGAGTAGGAACAGCTCCGTTGCCTTCAGGATCTCAAAGTGCTCCGAGTCCAAGAGACACGAAAAGACGTAGCGAAGTGTCTCGATGTCGGCGCACGCATGTTCTTGTTGTGGCTGGTTGTGAGGATTGGAGGTTTCCAATGAGGAGAGTGCCAGGAAGTCTTGCGCTGCTGTCTCGTTGGCAAAGAATGACGGGAACTCTAGCATCAACTTCTCCATGTATTGCAGACACAGATTGACGTGGTGTGGCAGCATGTAGTTGGTCGAGCGCAGAATCGCCATGAGGTATTCGTGGATGAACCCAACGTTCTCGTGCATCATTGATGTCACCTGAACGGCAAAGTACGCAGTTGGAGTGTTGATTTCCTCCAGATCTCCATCCAGAAGTGAAAAAGAGTCACGGAATGGCTGTTTCTCGGCTGCTGAGGCAGTTTCGTTGTTGACTTTCTCGTCTACCACATCTTGCCACTTGGGCTCTCGCTGCTGAAGCTCCGTATGAAATAAGCTCTTGGCCACTTCTAGTGTCGCGTCTTTCAGCAACTCAGCGCCAGGGATGCATTTCCAATTGGTGCATCCTACAACTTGTTGGCCTGTGACCTGTTCGAAGATCTGCGCGAGCACCAGCATGCAGCCATCTGTGTCGGCCATAAGCTGGTTGAGCATTTGAGCGGAAGTAGCCCAGCGATCTTCACGGTTCACAGTCGTTAGAAGGTTTTGGCACTGCGCGTACGTGCCCAAATGCCAGTTGTATGGCGTGAGTCGCAGCTTGTCATCGTATAGAGATCTGCCGCGTCCGCGCGAATTTACAAACGAGAGCGACATCGATCGCGTGCTGCTAAAAGCAGTCGATGGAACGAGGTTACTCAGGCTGTCAAGAATGTGGCTGCGTAGTCGCGGCACACGCATGTAGCTCGTGGCTACGAGAGCAGATAAGAGTTCTTGATGCTGATCGAGCGCGTTGAACTCCGTGTTGCTGCCACTGAAATCGATTGGACCATGCACCGTCTCAAAGGCGAATTGTAGTGTCGACTGGTGCAACTCTAAGAAGTGGTGGACAGAGTCACAGAGTCGCACATTGCGGTCTTGTCCGCGCTTACTCTTTCTCGGTTGACTCGTCGGGTTTGAGGTCAACGATGCCTGGTTCCCACTCTTTGCTGATGCGGAGACGCTGCGTGATCGACGCGATTGGCGAGAGAGTCGTCTCGACAGCCGAGACTTCCCGTGTCTCGCTTCTTCTGTTGGTTTGTGGCTCTTGCAGCCTCCGCGACCAACGGCAACCAACAGAGCATCGAACTCTTGTCTCCTGATCACCAAGGCCAGCAGCGTCAATGCTGCCTGCTCTAGTAGGTGCTTCTTCTCGTTTGCAGCTGCGATGGCAACGTCTCTCGAGTGAGCCATCGTATGTCGTAGCGATGGTTCAGGAGCTGCGCCATCCGCTAGCACGTCCAGGATCTGCATGCAGCATTTCCACAGCTGTAGCATGGCCTTAGCAGCAGCTTCTAAAGGAATTGGCTTTGCCGAGCGCCTGCCAATGGCGCTACCAAAGCCATCTGTGTCATCCTCTGTAAGGATACTGACAAGCTTATCGAGTGTCTTGGTGGTGAAGTCTCCTCTCCAGCGAATCGAGGTTCTAGAGGTGTTTAGCGAGGGCTCCGGGTCCTTTTGGCTCGCGCGATACTCTCCTGTGGTCAGTGCGTTCGTCTGCTCCACGAGTGCGCGCAACTGCCGGAAGAAGGCGGGAGGCATGAGAACCGTGTGTGGGATGCTGTCGCCGTCGCTCTTGAGCGGGAAGACGCGCGCGCTCGTTGCACCTCGGAAGCCACTGCTATTGCGTGAAGACGACGAGGACGTAGAGCATGTTGACGAAGTGTTGGTTGTTGACGAAATGGAGCCGCGCTGGCGCTTCGAGGACGTGTCGTCGGCCGCCGCTTTGCTGTCTCGACGGTGAAAAGGCCGCAACAGTCGCGCCACCGCGCGCGAGACCCTACCGCGCGCCATTGCTATCGATTGCCAATTACGGCGATTCGTCGAGTCACCTGTGGCCCAGAGCGCAGATTCGGTACTGGGCAAGCGAGCAAGTGGTTAACCCCATCGCGGTTATGCCATGTGTAACTGTTGCAAAGACCATCACTCCTTCACTTCAACCGGCGACGCCTCGTCAAATGACTTGAATTCACTAAGGGTGCTATGGAAACGTCAAACTGCCAAAACGTCAAAAGCAACCTCGCACAAGGACAGCAAGATGATGGCGACTAAGAATAGCCCTTCGGCTAAGCGCACCCTATCGGTATTGCCTGCCATTCCTAGCAGTTCTTCTCCTCCAGTCACTTATCCTACCAGCGAGGTGGCGTCGCGGAAAACACGTGGCGCTATGATAGAGTCTTTTTCAGCATCTAGCATCGAGATTCGGGGATTTGGCACAAGCTGCTGCGTTGAGTCAGGCCATGCATGAAACGGTAGACAAATGCTCACGTTGCCCGCAGCTCCTCTGCTTCCGCCTTCTACTTCCTCTCGAACCTCATCGCCGGTGAGGTTGACCGTCAGCCACTCGTCCATATTCCATAGAGCAGCATTGAGCGCTCATATCCGGGGACTGATCAACGAACACCTATTAAAAGTATCCGGCTCCGAGTGCCGTTGTATCCAGCGCCATATAATATTTTTGTAAGTTGTTATTATATTTAGAGGATGATTGTTGCCATCGTTGTGACGACGTGGCGCAAGCCAAAGCCCGAGATCGCAGGCTGCGATTCGCTGCACGTTTGTTCATTTTGCGGCTCAAACTTCGCAAAGTTGGGCTGATTTTAGAGACCAAACAGTAAAATGCCACTTTGAAGTTCAGGGTACCTAACATCTTAACGGATTCAGGTTGATGTGACCATCGCAATTCATTACCTACCGTCAACTAGACAGCATTCCATCATCACCGAATACATGTAAATTGATGTGACTCACATTGTGAGATCCTAGAGGCTCGGACCACAGTTTTTGGCTTCACTTTCCACCTTCTTCAGCTAATTCTTCAGTGCCACATAATAGCTACATGTATTACATCGAAGTGGCTAATACATTATTACGAACGCAACGATGTTCAGTAGCTGTGCGATATCAAGTGTTCCCGCTACAGAATGCACTTGATATCGGCCACTGGTTTTTGGTGAAGCAAATGGGTTCGGTCTCTTCCTTGCCGCTGCTAGCCGCGTGCCATCACGCCGTGTCACGTGATTCACGGCTTATAGATATTTAATGAGCGCGTGCAGCTTGATTTTATTCGCCTACGATCGCAGCTCAGGCACGCCGCCAGCTCTGAAACGGGCTACGCAACTTCTGCGACTCGGAGTGGCGTGTTCAGAGCTAACTGTTTCGCCGACTACGCACTGCAGCCCCAGAGACAGCCATTATCTTCGTCACGGTACGTTGCTACTGCCGACAATTTGAACTCTCCTGACTCTCACCTAACTTAACTGTCAAAGCTGAAGCAGCGATCGACTGGTCGCAAACTGAACCAACGGACAACGTCCAAATGACCAGCGCTGCAAGTAACGTCGCTCCTCTTCAGTGGTCCACGCATTTCATGATCGCTCTCGTTGTCGTAGAGCAAGTAATGCATCTGTGTCGGGACGCCGCAGATACTGTAAGCCCAAATTCAGGGTCGAGCGATTATGTAACGGGTAAATTATTTTAATAATAAAATACCTCAAATATCGCTTGTCATTTTAGAATCAACTATTTCGAGTATAAAAAGGGATATTGTGATACCGGTATTCGATTTCAGAAATTCAAATTTTGATATTTTTGAGCGGCTACAAAAGCGAGGTAGGTGTCAAATAAGTTGGAGCCGCCACCAAAATAAATGGAGAATGCACACGAATGGTGGACAGCTATCACTCACAAAATAAAAGTGGAGTGTCCACACATTTAGGAAGCAGTAACACTTAGCACAAAGCTAATAAACACTCCATGTCAGTGCTTTTGTTCGAATCGTTAGCATAGGTGAAGTGATTCGAGCACTAAGTTGTAGTGATCATGTTGTAGTTGCAGCAACAACAAGTCGCTGTCAATGACGCCTCACTTTCCCTTGTAGCGTGCCATGGCACTACACTTCGGCTGGAATCCGAGCAGAGACCACACTCTACGAGGTTGTGGCTGGGACGGTGGAGTCCACGTGCCCCTTTGCCATTAAGTTAGCTTTCCAGTGTCACTCTCCAACTTGAGCCCAAGAGCTCCAGCACCACACGCCGTCCAGAGCAGCGGCACCCAAGACCGACCACCAACGCAGCTCCAAGAAAAGCACAAGTACGTTCATTGATGTTATAAAATGAACGTTTCTAGCATGTTGAGTCTGCGTTATCTACCATGTTTGCTGGTGCAGTGCAATGAGCTCGACATGAAGAAGTGCGTGATTGGGTCGCGCTCGTAGTCAAAGTACTGGCACTTTGGGAGTCGTCGCCATCATCTCCGTCTGGATCGTACTTGCCAACTACTTCGTTGTCGAGGGTGCCAAGGCCATGGACGTGCACAGTATGCACGCATTGGCCATCCACGCCCACAGCCTAGATCCTGCAGCTCATTGGTCACGGCGTCTTCGATCGTCGCAAACCGGCACTCTTCGACAGCCTGGACCAGGCTCTGATCACCGCTCCGATGTTCGTGTAGCTCGAGATTTTGTTCCCACTCGGTTACCGTCCGGAACTCTACACGCGCGTGATGAAGCAGGTCTGGATCAAAGCAAGACCTTCCAGGCTACAAAGACGCTGTAGTTGAGGCCACAAGACAGTGACTTTTGTGGCCTCATCAAAAAGAAAAATGTATTGTTTTCGATATATCTATGCGAATTTTCTCGTTAGGAGGCTACGACGATCTCTGCCATCTCTATGAGACTTTTGGCAATACCCTCCGCCCCACTGACGAGACAGTTGAGAAGTAAGAACTCCTCCATCGACACCTTCTCGTAGCAACGTTCTTCCAGCAGCCATTCCACGTACGCAGTCTTCATCTGCGCCGCGATGTCGCTACCGAAGAATTCCTCCACATTTAGAACGTCGTGCTCGCGACACATGGCAGGAGCCGATGACGCAGCCGCCGAGACTCTCTTGTTCTTCGCAACGGACGAAGCTTTGGACGAGTTGCGTTAGCTCTCACGTGACGGCATCGCGGCTCGAGAATTGTTGAAATTCGCTTCCTGCACACCTAAAGGTGGAAGTTTGGACTGAATCTTGTCGCCAGAGTCCACGTCGACGACCTTCGACTCGTCGTTATCGCTCGCATCTCCCGCATCGTCCTCGTTCTCATTGATAGCTGCCAGCCCATGCTCCGGTCTGGCTACCAGAGCCGAGGCCTTGGGTCTACATTGCGTGTACACCTCCACCTCGAGCTTGAGGCCGTTCTCCAGCGCCTCGACGAGCTCTTCGAACGACACCAAGCCGCTGTTATCTTTGTTACCACCAGGCATTCCGAAATAATCATTGTATTGCTGCTTCAATACAATAATTTACACTTAATTATTGATTTTTATAAATTGGATGACTTTTTCCAATTAGTTATTTTGTATTTACAACAAAGTACTTTATTTTTTCGTAAAATCTAGTTTTTTCTGCTTTGTTTTGCGTAAATACGGAGCTCGGTCTCCAGACAGAATCGAATGGCTGTTAGCAACGGTCGCTCAAAACGCGAACCTGAGGCGCTCGTCTATCATTTTTGATCTCACCATGGCTCTCGCCAACACCTTCACGACCAAACAAGTCTGCAGCTACTTTTTTACTGCCAGCTTGGCGACTTCTAGTCGGCCACCATGAAGCTTCAAGACGACAACGTAACGCTTCTCGATGTGCGCGATATCTTTGATGCGCTCATCGAGAAGCATTCCGTTGTGAAAAAGTATCTTGCTGCCGACGCAAATATTGTTAAGGACGTGGACTTCAAGCGAGCGTGCGTTGTAGCCCTGTCAGGCGCCGTGGACGAGCTGACGAACGGCCAGGAGCTGATGTTGCAGCCATTTGAGACGGTACCCGCAATTACGACACCGGACACCAGGCACGGACGCCCACAGGGCTTTGCCGACAGAGTCTTGGCGACTAGAAAAAAGCGGCGCGGTGCAAAGAAGGTATTTGATGGTGTGCTTTTCATCCCGCCGACGTCAAACACCGTGGAGCGTCTTTTTAGTGTGGCGAAACATACTCTTTCCCACCATCGCCAGCGTATGCTGCCTATTCACCTTGAAACCGTGTTGTTCCTGAAGATGAATCGGCGTTTCTGGGACGCAAACACTGTAGCAGCTATCGTGAACGCAAAGTAATGTGCAGTGCTGTACATCTAAGTAGTTAATTTTCCAATACACTAACTACTATTGATGTCAATTATTTATTTCTTAAGTTGTAGTTTTTGTAGTAATAGCTTATTTTGGCATGGACCTTCAATATGATTGCAATTGTATCATCGGAATGCCTGTTCACCACACGCATGAATTCCTCGACGTATTTGTGGATCTCGCCTTGCTTGACCTCGCCAGACTGGGCGACGATGGTCTCCATCATGTCTGCCACTTCGTCCGCGTCGATCTCGCCGCTACAGTCCGTGTCTGCCAAGCGGAAGGCCTATTTCATCTGCATGAAGATTGCGGTCTGGTCCGGCTCCGAGTACAGCTAATGCATCGCGAAAGAGCATCTCTCCAACGTCTTGAACGAATCGGTCACTACAGTCTGGAATTGGCTCTACCACTTTGCACTTGTGCTCGTTGCTGTCAAGTGAAGCTTCAGTGTCTCAAATGTCGACACTATTAAGCTGAACTCGGTCGTGTTCGACGCGGAAATTGAACCACCGCACCAGCTTAAATAGTAGCGTGTTGTTGTTCAGTAGTCGACGTAAACACTCGAGAACTTTTCACATTTCAGAGTCGAAAACGCAGGTCTCCACATGAGCGGTTCGGCTTGAGCCTCCGCCACTGAGGACGCTTGTTGCGCATGTTTAGCAGGGATCTTGGCCTGCTCCATCTAAAAGATCGTCGTTCTCACTCTCCATTTTGTTTGTCTCCACGTAATTTTACATGAGCGACAGTGCGACGAGCGTGTATATCTATTTCTGTATCTTCAACACTTCAATACTTTGGCAGTGATTGTGCTATTGTGGTGGTCGTATATTTTAAGGTGGTGGTGGTGACCCGTTTTCTGTGTGTGTGGTCCCGTCCACATTTTAAGTGGATCTACACTTTTTTATATTAGCAGTACATATAATTTAAAGTGGTAATAACCCGGACTCCTACAAAAGCTCTGGCTCCATTCGCTTGACCCCCCCCTAGAAAAGCAAGCCATTCCACGCAGATTACCCGTTGGTACGCGCACACGATGTCTGTCGTGACACCGAAGCAGAGGAAACGCGGCGACAAACGAAATAAAGAGGCTGATGAGCATGTGCAGGAGTTTCCCCCTTCCAAGGCCTTTTTTCATCGTGGGAAAGCTTTCAAGAAGCATTTGACAGGTACGCTTATACGTAATATTGCCAAAAAGTGGTTTGCGGGGACTCCTAAGATAGGCTATTCCTTTTGACAGCTACCAGAAGGACACACACCAACTCTACAAAATCCGCTCCACGATTTCAGCTAAGGAGCGGAAAAAATCTCGGTCCAAACAGGCTGCGCGGAGTGGGTCTACGGCAGAGTTATGGGACGAAACACTTGGCATTTATGCTAAGTATTTCATTTGCACACATGGCTGGAATTTTAAGCCAAGGGGTAAAGGGAAACGTACAAACCACATCATTCGTTCGATCAAATGTCCAGCAAAGCTAAGCACAAATTTGGTCAAGGGGAGGGATGGACTGGTAAAGATTCGAGTCTCGACTCACTACGCTGGGCACAATCACGTCGTCGGTGAGGATGTATACTATTCGTATTCCGAAGCACGTCAAGTCAACTCCCCCGGCACGAGGATCGTCGTAATAACACTCATTCAAGGTAATAATTTTGATGTAATTTATTGCTTTTAGTATGCGTCTTACCTTATGCAATTGCACGTAGGCGGGTCGAAAAAGAAAAAAATACTGAGGTATCTCAAGGAAGTTTCGGGGAAGCCAATTTTATCTAAAGATGTGGGGAACCTTATCGCCACGATGAGGAGATAGACGTACACGTCGGACGATGATAATGTGCGCGTCTCGCAGCTTCTCAGTGATTTCAGCGAGGGTACTGGAAATGCTGTCAACGTCTTTAGGGATAAGCATACCGGTCTGACGTCATGTATCACGTTCCAAACTGCATTCATGGCGCATGACTCGCAAGTTTCCTGAGGCCGTCTGTATCGATGCAACTTACGGCACCAATATCAATCGGTACAAATAATTGGTGTACGGCTCACTAATTAATCTTGAGTTGGTTAACTAATCAACTCTTTTCGTTTTGTGTGTTCAAAGATATCGTCTGTTCAGCTTCATGGTCACGGATAAATTTGGATGTGGTGCGTTTGCCCAACATGCTCTTGTTGATGGAGAGAGCAGGTCGAATATGCAGTGTGATGTGTCTGCATTCCAGGAGAACAACCCGGCTTGGAGAAATGTCAGAGTGATTATCATTGACAAAGACTTCACTGAGCTGGCGCTGTTGAAGGATGAGTTTCCAGACGCTGTTGTCATTTTGTGCCATTTTCACGTCATTGATTACTTGAAACGAGAAGTAAGTAAGAAGACGTATGGTTTCACAAACTTTGAGAGAACTCACGTAAAAACCCTGATTACTCTGATGGTTCGTGCGGGCTCAAAAGAGTCATTTAATCACTACCTCGCCGCGTTGAGGCAGTTGTGTGGAAAGAAGCCTGCGTTTATGGACTACTTCAAAGTGAATTGGTTGAATTGCAAGGATTTATGGTGCATGTTCAAGCGTGGCGGTATTCCTCATCTCGACAACAATACGAACAATCGCCTAGAAGCTAGTTGGGGTGCCGCCAAAGACATTTTGAATCGGCACATGGCAATGGACGAATGCATTGATCATTTACCGCTCCTGCAGCAGTCTGCGGAAGATGGATACTGGGCGAAGGTGCGCCGTGTCGGCTGCCGGTACAACCATCAATACGATGACGAAATGAGCATTTTGGCGAAACTGGCTACGCGTCATGCTTGTGATTTGATGGAGGGAGAGTATAAACTTAGTCAGCAGTTAACCTATTGTGTCTCAGCACATGAAGAAAGTCCTTCATTTGTAAGTCTCGCACGCGAGAAGTCAGATGAAAAGTATGCTGCCAGCGTGGAGGAAGGCCAGTGTAGTTGCAGCTTTTACCGTACATTGCCGCTTCCGTGTCGCCATATCATGTACTTGCGACGTCAGCAACAAGGCGCCTGCTCCGTTTACCTTACACTTCTGTTCCTGCCCGATGGCTAATTGCTGATGAAGAATGTGGCGACGATGAAGTAGGTGAAGATACTGTAAGAAGATTCACGGTGAAGAATGTAGAGGTTTCATCGGCTCGTGTTCTAGGCCACAACGAAAAATATCGCGCCGGAATTGCGGTTTGCCAGAAAATTGCCGAAGTTATTGCAGATAAAGGATCGCGGAGTTCTCACGAGTGGTTGAGCTATCTGTCGAAGCTGGAATCAATTGCAAGGCTTGATGGTGCTGTTCCTGTTTCTCCGGTACACACGACTTCATCAATTTTTGAAACAGTTGGGGGAGATGTCACCAATTTTGGCGATGTAGGTGAGCAAACCACCAATTCCAGTAACGCTGTGCAAGCCAGTAGTTGTGGAGATGATATGGAACTAGATTTTGGTGGACAAGTCACCAACTACGAATGTGTTGTGGAGAAAAGCACCAATGTCGAAAATGCTGGTGACTCTGTCACCAATTCAGACACCAATTCTGAAGGCGTTGGCGGCAGAACAATCGACCTGCCTCTGTCTGTGGATGATCCGGAAGACGAGGTGGCACCGCTGACGTTGAGCGCTGGTAAACATGCCACCAGTTCTTATGCTGTTGGTAGTAGTGTCACCAATTCAGTCAAAGATGCTCTAGACACAATAACAATGGCTCCGCGTTCGACCCGAAGACGCCTCAGTTTAGGTTTCGACACAAAGAGAGACGCTGATAAAAACCTAATTGTCAAACTAAACCCGGCCAGCAACCCTGCAGGAAGACCAAAAGAACCGAGAGCGACTAAGAAAGTCAAGGCCCGCAAAGGGATTGAAGAAACCAAGGTGTTAGCGCACCAGTTGACTTCATTGGGTGATATAACACTTGCGACACTTCGCGAATATGCTCACATGAAAAGGCTGTCGCTATCGGCGATTGAACCGGTGTTTTAAGCCATCCGCCCAATTGATAAGGAGGCGATGTATAAACGTCCAAAGGCGCGTGTGAAAAAAACCTGGAGAAGAGTTGCAAACTAAAACCAACGTTCGGTATGTCATTCCTGAAGCACTGGTGGACAAATCGGCTCAAGCTGGTAAAAATGCTGCGATTCGAGAGCTGGCTAATAACAACAGACACCAACTGAGGAAGAAATTGCTGTGCGCATTCTGGATGTCGGAATATTTTCACTGCGGGATATTGATACCATGAAGCAGTGGCATTCTCTCAAAGTTAATTACAAGCACGCGGAGTCTAATTAAGTAGGTTCAATCGCAACCAGAAAGCGATGCACGACGTGATGTCCTGTCAAAGGTGCCTCAGATGAACATGTATTCTAAATTTAAACCTGGGATTGGTGAAACTATTATTCATTTCGATGCGTTGATTAAATTCGCGGGCGCACGATGGTTATCAGACGGATGCATTTTCGTTGCAGCTCTTCATACTGCCCACCAAGCACAGACAGTTGGGCAAAACAGAGGAGGTGTCGCTGAAATTTTTGTTGTGGACCCTGTCTATTTGGGGTTCAAAGTGGAAGCCGAGAGAAAGAGAATGATCGACACTGAGCTGCAAATTCTGAGCAAAGGTGCAAGTGGACGCGTCGTTTTTTCCCCTGTAAACATCCAAGTAGACGTGGCGCATTGGTGTGGCGCTATTGTTGACTTTCGAAGCTGCTCAATCTGGATCTACGACCCAAAACAAAAGGTTGACTACATTGATGAAGTGGAAGATATCATGAAAAGTTCCGTGGTTCCTCTGATTGATCCGGCATTTGTTTTTGATTTCAAGTACTCTTCTGCTTGGCTGCAAAAGGACGGGTATAATTGCGGTGTTTTTATCGTAAAGTGGTTCGAGACGTATTTGAAAGTGGCGATGCACACGGTACCCGAGGAAAATCGGAGCGCGCTAACACCACAGCAAATATCGGACAAAGATATCGAGAAGTGTAGATACGAAATGTTTGAAACAGTGTGTCTTGACATTTTCGAGAGCTAAGCAAGAAGCAAGTACAAGTATTTGTTGGTAAGTCTATCACTTATATAAACGTTGCACATTTCACTGCCAACTACAAAGAGATTTTCCTTACTTTGAAGTATAAAAACACATTCATACCGATATTTTCGTTATATGAGCAATCGGATTTACCGGGAAAATTGTATTTTTTACCAGATAGTTGGTGAACGTAGGGAGAGCCTTTTAGACTTGTCAGTGTGGCAGCAGTACCCCAGCTGGCACAGAATGATACTAAAGGTAGTGATTAAAAATTCAGGCAAGTTCGTACCAGATTTGAAAGGATTTTCGACTCCTCCGCGTAGCAGCTCCTCTGCTTCACGCTGTTCTTTTCTCTCTCTAAACTCAATAACACTCACTCCTACCGTGACGGGGTCACACAGCACCTTGCGCTAGAGGAAGTTGGCTTCCGAGAGTGTAAAAACTCTCAGTGAACGGCAGTCCTTTTTCCCCGGAGGGAGCGAAGTGACCAATTTTAAGGTAGGTTGTACACTGAATATATTCGAGACTGCGTCAAGCAAAATGATACTTACGAACCTAAGTACGAATCGCGATTTTAGCACTTTAAACGAAAGCAGGGCATCTCCTCTATCTCTTGAGCCCTTATAAGCTACAGAATGCTTAAACGAAAGAAGCTGTGGTCGCTCAAAAATATTATCTCCTTTTATGGGCCCTCAACGACAATACATTTAGGAGTGTTGTGAGTTTTCAATTTTAGAGATTCAAGTGTTATATAAAAGCTCTTGCTAAAAGCAATTGAAAAAAGGTACTTTTACAGTTTTTCGATGGAAGTGTGCAATAAATGTCACGGTTTCCGTTAAGTGCGAAAATCAATTTTGTAGCTATAAATTTGATAGGTAGGATAAGCTTGAGCTAAATAAACAAACTAAAAGTCACCTTTAGAAAAGCTATGTCATCAACCAATGGTTGGCCTCAGACGACCCTAGTACATATCCCGAAGTGTGACGTGTCACGCTTCATGTAACTAGGGGTACACTTGGGGCTACGTACCTCGTTACAGTTTCTGTGTTGATAAAGCAGGACGCGCATTCATACCTACACCAAACTTCGACTCGCACATCTACTTAAGCGATATCTGCCCAGCGCGCAGTGGTCGAGCGTTGGCTTTGGAAGCCACAGGTCGGTAGTTCGGTTCTAGCCCTCTCATACCATGCGTAGTCTGTACTCGGACAAACGTACGGGCATCGTCCTTATAGCTCAATTGTAACGCGCCTGGGGTGTCCGTTACTTGCTTACACGTAGTGATGACCATCGACCATGTTGGCGCTTCTCCCAATAACCACGTGCCTCTCCCCTTTGTAGATCCAGGGTTGAAGAGACTTCGGATCTGGCAAACTCATCCACTTGGCGCAAACTAGAGATCTTGGCAACTGACACTTCATGTAGATCACGTATATTATCGACTGGATCTAGGGTCCTGCTACCTGGATCTAGCAATGTCTTGTTCACAAATGCATAAATGCAGTACCTAGAACGCTCGGCTCGTACCGGATTCAAACCCGGCGAGCGTCCTAGTTTAACATCTTCTCGGCCACTTCTGGCAACATCCCTCGGTGCTTGGCTGGATCAAACCATTGGCGGATCTGGTTGTAGAATTCTTACATCGGGCACTTGCCGACGTCGTGAATCTTGTGGTGAAGTCCTTTCTCAGAAATTCTCATCCACATCTGCCCGCGCAATAAATGCAGTGCCCACCGCCTTGCGCAATTTTACATCAAATCCGATCCTTTGATTCGTCGAGTGCGGAACTAGACATAGGCTGTGCGAAACCAAGTTGCGAGCTGATGTGTTGCCGCACACCCTGTTCTCCTTCTGTCATTGTTGTTTATCTAGCAGTACACGGAAACGTAACGTCTATTGCCCATCTACGTGCTGTTTTGACTCACTAACACCATCGTGAACAGCTGCTGTTGATGCGTACTACTGCGACCGACTGGACGTATCTGTTTTCTATTTTGGTTGTCGCTTGGTCTTGGGAGCTCTGCACAAGTATTGCATATCCTTATAGATGCAAAGCGTACAAGTCCAGTGATACTGAAACCAAGTACTTAGTCTGAAGGAAAATCGACTCTGTTTTTATTTAGGTCCAGGGCGGCTTGCCCTGACCACTCAAATACACGTCAACTCTTTATTGGTTGATTATGGGTCTGGCTCCCCATATTTCAACCAATAAGATGACGGCAGTTCAGCACACGCTACTCGTGTGCTGCTGCACCTACTTTTGTAATGCAAATGTACCTACTTATGTAATGGTGTGAGCCACTACAAAGAACCTATAAAATTACCTACATATGTAACTTGGGAGGGCCCATTACATCACCCCCCTCTTAAGACAGCAATCACCTAACGTGGGTGCACTTCGGAGAACAATCGGGACAAACTGGGAAATGGTGGAGAAGAGAACGCTTGAGAACTTGACGGGCGGGAGCTCCTGCGAAGCCCAGTAGCAGCACAATATAACTTGCGCGGACAAGAACAACATGGCGCAGCAGACGGGGGCGGCGAACCAGACAGACAGCGGAACAACGCGGACGGCTCCAGCGTCGGCGACGACGCTGAACAGTGGGTGGACCGCTGATATCGCGCCTGAGAGCGTGAGTCGACTTGGGGTTCGGCCCGGCGTGATGAACGAGGATATGAAGCCGTGGGCGCTGTACGACTTATCCGGGGCGGTGACCCCGGACGCGTTGGACACCATGTAGGACCACTTTCGGCGCTTCAGGCGTCTCCGGAACAAAACACTCGACGGCGCGTCGTACGAAGCTTTGCAGAGATCATGGTGCGCATTCATCCGGCGGTGGAATCAGATGCAAGAGGCTGGAGAAAGTGTCGTTGGCTGGCTCGGTGATCGCGAAGCCCTACAAGCCGAGCATTCACTCGGTGATCTGCGCCTGAAAGTCTGCGACGACGCTTGGACCGAAGACCGTTTGTGCTATGTCAACGTACGCGAAGGTTGCAGTTCGTGTGACATCGGGCGACGCCCGACGCAAGCTGAGTGGGATCAGCATATTGTCGAGTATCCGCTCATGCCGACCGAACACGCTTGGATCGAGAAGTATAAGCGCTCACTCTCCGAGTTCACCCAGGCGGCTATTCGCGGCGGCTCGCGCCGACAGCGTTCGCGACGGAGCCCGTCTCCGACGCGATCGCGGTCGCGTTTGATTCAAGGCTGGAGTCGTAGTCGTGGACGACATCAGGAACGTCACGAAGCAAGTTGGCGCGAGGCTCCCACGTATCATCAGCAGGTTGAAACCCGAGCCATCGTACCTTATACTTCCGCGCGGCGGGAGCCGCGTGTTGAGCCGACGACTTGGTCGAGTGACGCGCGCGGGGAGGATCTTCGTGATCAATAATACGGTCCACGATCCAGCACGTTTCTCCATTCGAGTCAACGATGGGCGGAGGACCGTCGCGGTGGAATTCGACGCGACCTGGTTGACCAGGACGACGTTGTGCAGGCGCTGAACACTTCTCGGGACGCACAGGAGGAGGTCGAGCGAGCGGCTGAGAGCTCTCGGAACGCCGAGGCGACGGCGAGTAGTCTGCGGCAGTCGAATCGTGAGCTCTTGCAGCTACTGCGTAGTCTGGAGGCACAGGTGTTTGACGGACCGAGGGGTGAAGCCCTTCCGCGCGAGCGGGGAACTGGGACGCTGGCTCGACAGGCTCATCGCGAGGGCCGCTCAGCGCATGCTCCTGCTCCGCCTCCGGGATCATCGCGGGAAGATACTTCTTAAGTCGCCCGACGTAGAACGTCGGGTGTAGTCGTAGCGACTTAGGAATGTCTAGCGTGTAGGCATCACCCATAACTCGTAGTACTTTGAATGGCCCAATGTAGCGCGGCGCGAGTTTGCTCGCGCCTAGGTTCGTAATAGCAGAGGTACGAATTTCATCCGTTGAGAGTAATACACGCTCACCAATCTTGAATGAACTTGTGTTCTTGCGGCCATGTTTGTCAGCGTTTTCCTTCTGCTTGTCAACCGCGAGTTGTAGCGCGTCACGGACGAATCGGGTAACCGATTGGCGATGAAGGACAAAGTCGGATACCGCTGCCTTGTCAGCGGGTCGCGCTAGAGTTTTCGGCGCGTAGCTAGCCACAGTCGAGTGTGGCTGTGCTGGAGCGATCAGCGTTCGGTGTGTCCAGTCAACTAACGGCGACGACATGGATTGCGCGGGTGCGAGGATCTTCTTCGACTGTAAGCGCGTCACCGCGTTGATGTCTACTGCAGGAGTAGCTGAACTCGTAGACGGCAGAACCGTTGTCTCACGTCTCACCGGAAACCGGTGGTTGAACCAGTATCGGAACCGGTTGGGCAGGGCTATCACATTCCTACCCCTCCAGAGTGAAGCCATCAGTCGCCGTGGGTTGGCCCACAGCAAGTTGTGCGGGGACACGTGGATGACGCGCGTTGTTGACGAAGAACGGAGTCAATTCCGTCGATGCGTGTTCGGCATTGTTGAGTGCAAACTCCGCAAGAGGCAGGAAGGAACTCCAGTTCTCGAAGGACGGGGCGTAACTGCGCAGAACATCTTCTAGCACGCGGTTGACGCGTTCCGTTTGCCCGTCAGTCGCCGGGTGCGCCGCCGTCGAAATGAGGTGTTTGGTGCCCAGGAGGTCGAAGCGTTTCGTCCAGAATGCCGATGTGAATCGGGGATCGCGGTCAGAGACGATCGATTCAGGAAGGCCATGATGTCGGACGACAGCGTCGACAAAGTGCACCGCGGTATCGGCCGCGGTGATTGAGTCCGGAACCGGAACGAGATGGCACATCTTGCTAAAGCGATCCACGAAGACCAGAACAGCAGTATGACCGTCAGTATCGGGTGGGAGACCGAATATGAAGTCCATTGACACAGAGCGCCACGCCTCTGTCGCCAGAGGGAGAGAACGCAGCGGAGCTTGCGATGACGGTGGTGGCTTAACGCGTTGACAAGTTTCGGAGGAGCGGACCCACTTGCGCACCCAC